TATGGAAATAAAGCAAAAAAATTTGCATAAAAATCTGAAAAATACTCTGTTTCCTTGGATACGTACCGTTGTATGTAGATTCCCGAAACTTTAATGATTGATATATGTGAACAACTAACCTGACTTTAAATTTTGACTATCACCCAATCTCTAACTGGATGCAAAAAGCTGGCACATAGGGTCTAATATTGACAAAAAATTAACAAAATCGAACATTTTCTCTTCTTGGTAACCATAGCAACAGTGTTGTATTTTTCAACAACCTTTATCAATATATGATATTCAACTTTAGTTCTACGAGATAAATACTATTCAGGGTGATTCAAATAATATTTTTCTTGATTAAAAGGTTAGTAAATTCCTAAAGCAGCAAAAAAATATCACATTAAACAACTAGTACGTTGTTTCCATGGTTACACTGCAAAGCAACAATTAATCTCAATTTTTCTTATGTTGTCGGTGTTGCAAGGTCCTAAGGATGCATATGTGCCAGTCATGAATTTTATTGTTTTTCCTCACGATAGTAGCATTAACCCAATCATAGCAACAGATTTTGCATGGTGACACTGTGTTACCATGGCAACCATGAAAATTATTTTTAGAATAATATTGCCAATACCTAATTACATGAGGTCAAATATTTTTTATTGTTTTTCTTACGTTGTTGATTGAGTTTGATCATGTAACATCTTTCATTTGTGAATATTGAGCGTTTTTCAGCATTTTTCAGCATCTAAAACGTATTTCAAATGTACCCATGGTTACCATTACTTAGAGATAAATTCTAAATAGTTTCTTTATAGCATAAGTGGAAACAAGGTGTCATGTTTTTAGGAGAATGGTTTGTTTGTTTTTCTTAGTCTTTATTATGGCTTAATAAAGATTCAAAGTAGCTGAAAATCTCAATTTTTTCAACTTTTCTGGCTGTTACCATGGCAACCAAGACCCATAGCAACGGAATTTTATTTGATATATGTTTCTGGTGTCAAGTTGTAATAATAGGCAAAGTTTTATCAAAATCGGTGACCATGCGTGGCAAAGAAGTTCAAGTGGTTACAGAGAATCGCTATTAAGCGTTGATGGACGTTGACCGCTGACGTACTGTGCTTGACTTTGCTTCTGAAATTGGAACACCATATGCAAAGATGGGGAGTATTTTTGAAATATGAGTGTAATATTAAGATAAGTTGATCCGTGTGAGAGGATACCAAGGCTTTTCTTGAGAGAGAAAAGGAGAAAAAGGCAGAATATTCTGTAGAATTACTTAGTCGAATTGAACATGAGGGTGAGATGCTCCTATAACGCTCCTATAATGTGACATGACATACTTAACTTGACGTTACGTAGAAGTCTCCCCCTGATTTTACAACTATCAATGTTCAGAAAGCTCGTGTGACCTTATTGGTAATTGGAACATGGTGAAAATATCCAGTATTGTTGCATAAAGACTCCATATTATAAATATGCCTATTGTTTGCTTTCATCAAATCACAATAAAATTTTAGAGATAATTAAATTTCACAAACTTTTGGATCAACCGTCGTATTAGAAAAAAGATGGATCTATTAGATTGAACAGGTTATAATTCACCTGAGTCATTTAAATTACTTATTGCTATCTGTGTTTGTTCAGTCATCATGTTTCAAGTGTTGTCTGTAAACTATTGAACATTTTCAGCTTCTTTTCTGGAACCAGTTTCAACTAATTTCTCAGTTGAAGTATACAGACATAATATAGAAGTGATTTTATTGACTTTCTCAATCTATCCTGAATTTAAAAATGTAAATATAAGCATTTGATTGTAAATATTGAACATTTAGCATCTCATAACCAGAGTTGGAAATTACTGACTGCCCGAGGTAGTCTGTTTTTCAGGTAGGCAGGGACAAACTTTAGATTAACCTCGGTGGTCGAGGTCATTTAAACAGCTAGTTCCTGTTTTCCATTTTTTTTTTTCAGGGTATAGTAAGTCTATAGAAAATAAGTAAAATATAGTATATCAAAGGAACACTTCTAGTTAAAAATTTGAGTTGACCTTAGGACCAATATTGGTTTCAGTCTTTAGAAAAAGCTTATCGATGTATGTTCCGATCACTGACTTTAGGCCACATGTGTGTAGTTTCTTGTTTCTCATGTATTGCTTTAGTTCTACGTTAATGGTAATCTAACAACCAAGCTTTATGACAAATGAGATGGCTTTAACTTTTCAATTGTCAACTTCCCTTACTTATTTAGCAATATACCTTCATCACCTGCATACAGGGTTTATATCTCTCAGTTGATTTGATACGAAAGAGCATCCTCTATGTTTGAAATTTTTTTAAAACGAGGTAAGTTATTGACAAATAAGTTGCTGAAACAAGAATATCAGCAGTCTTGTTTAAAGTTATCATTTTGTAAATTCTATGGTCGATACAATGACTTTGTCAGCAAATACAATTTATCATTAAGTCAAATGCTGAGTGACGTTTTTCATACTTATTGTTAGGCCATTATTTACACACTGAATTATCGATGGATTTTTCCATTGTTTCCCAGTTGTGACAAGGAGCACATGGCGTGTGTGACCGGTCTGCAGGGGATGCTTACTCCTCCATGGCACCTGATCCCACCTCTGATGTTTTGGAGGTCCGTGTTTGCTCTGCTCCTATTTTGTATTTTTTGATGGGCTTTTGAGCTTGAATACTGTTTGTTATCTCGATATATTTCATTCTAGTCAACTGTGTGTTCATATGATCCTACCTCAGTATTTACAGAATTATACATCCTTTGTATGAGGGTCATTCTTGATGTCTGACTGAGTAATGGCAATGGGACATAAAACCTTAACTGACCTTACCACATTCTTTTCTAATCTGAAAACCCTCATGCATTTTTAGCATAACATATCGCCAATGCACACATTTTTCCCAAGGAATGAACTGCATCTACTCTGCATAGAACAGTATCTCTCCCACTGGCACAACAGTACTATTACATGTCATTATGTTCTTGAAAGGAAAACAGCAGTTATTGCTCAGCAAGATTCTTTTTCCTGACACCTGCAGTATCGAGTAACACAAAGTGAATGATTAGTGTCCTCGAACAAAGTGTGCTTACAATGAGGTATAGTTCCGGTTGATTGCATTTAGTTAAAGAGAATTTATGATCTACATTTCTTTTATATCAACACCAAACATGCATTTAAGGAAGAAAATATAAGTAAAATGCAAAAGCCTGTATAAAAAAATCAAAGTGCAAGGACAAGTGCACTTAAGGAATGCTTAATGGGCCCTTTTTCAGTGCTGTATTACTTTAGAATATATTACCAAATTGTTCTCTTTTAGTAATAGTTAAACACAAGTGGACATTTCTAATTAAAATCACGCTAAAACATCAATCAGCATGGATTTGAAACAAATGAAGTTTTTTAAATGCCTATAGATCCGGAAAGTCATATCAAACCCATTTTGAGTTTCAATCGTTTATTTAAATCAAGGGGAGGAGGCATTTAAATCTTAAATCAGACACTTGAACAATCTGATGGTGGATCATTGACAGGCACATTTGCCGAAAGATACTTCTTGCGCTATTTTACCCGAGAAAAAAATTGAATGAAGTTGTATAGATGCCTGTATCCATAGTGATCAAACTATGAAATTGGTATGCTTGCATTTGAAATAATGCAATAAGTATTAACATTAGTTCCTTTATATTTTAAAATGAAAAAAAAGGTGTATTTGGGTGGCTTTCAATACTGGTACCATTGTCTTGCTTGAATGTTAAAAATGTTTGACACTTTTATTTATGATGACATTTTAACGACACTAAACTCTCTTAACCCTTCTGTGTTCCTAACCCTCCCGTTTTCCTAAAACCAAATACGTGTACATACAAACTTCTCTATGCGGCATGACTTTGATATAATGATACAAAACGTGGCTATGCTTTACAGTGAGCATCTTTGAGGAATGTTTACCTGGGTAGAACTCACGTGACTACCAGTATTTTAAATAATTTATTCCATGGGTGGGTTCAACATAGCTAGATCATACAGGTAAATCTAAGCTCTTACTTGCTATAGGAAAAACATTGAACTTTTCATACATTTTTTTAATATTTTAAGTACAAGCCTAATCTTGTACAAATTTCCTACTTTCACACAAGTTTTATAAATGTATAATGCATTTTTTGTCAATCACACAAGTTTGTACAACGTTAGGCTGACAATAAACAAAAGCTTTGAAATGAATGACTGTCCTCAATTTACTATAGAAAATCACGAATGTTGGCTGACCCCTACCACATTGTATGGCTTTGCTCTTTGTATATTCATGAATTTCAGCAATAAAATTTGTTGAATTTAGGGTTTAGATATCAATTAATGATCTGAGATGGAAAATTAAGCTTAATTTGATTCTTCATTATTTCACATTTTACCGGGGCCCATAAGTGCACTCGTTCTTTAGTGTTTATACAGGTAAAAGGTTTGAAAAAATAAAAATGTGCCAACAAATGGATTCGAACCAGGACACTAAAAATGTTCATGGTGAGAGTCTGCGGTCTACCATTCTGGGCTATGCTGACTATGAGGACATTTGTAATAAATATAAACCAGTAAGATAGAAATAGGTTTTCACGTTTTTTGTAGTTTTTTTTTATATAAATCTAAAGCAGGGGTACGTGCCCCTAAAAAAACCTTGTTTTAAATAATTGCTTAAATCAAAATCTATCAAAATTTCATAATTTAATTTAGGGGCAGGCAAAGGGTGATTATATTGCATCTATCGGGTATAAATTTTCTTATCAGAAAATTGTAGAGATATGCAAGGTTAATTAATGACAACATTTATTTTTCATTTTTGCCTAATACTTTTATGATTTTCACTAATAAATTGATGATTGAAAAAAGCCTTTAATATGACTGCTGATTTTATCTCCATCTGTTAATTTTTAACACCTTTTCTCGTGATTATAGGAGATAGAGAACAGATTATGATTTCTAACATTTACTGTTACAGATCATTTCCTTGAGATAGGTGGAACCAACAGTCAAATCCAGACACCTTTAAGAAAAGTAAAAATCTGACTCAGGTAAAAAAAAAATCATTTACAGTTTTATCAATTAGTATTTTTTACCTTAATTAACTGGACAAATCTCATTTGACGATATACAGGTCAAGAATGAAGAGTTTAAAGCCTAGTAGGGATTTTGGTCAATCATAACAGTTAATCTGCAGCCCCTATTGGGAATTTTACACTCATATGGAGACGCCACCACTTGCCAGTGGAAAGCTGCAAATTCTGTCCTATACTCTGCACTCACAGCCATTGAGCAGTGAGGGTCCTTTTTCCTGCCAGCACCTACTGCGACATGGGACCTCAGTTTATATGGTCTCATCCGAAGGACTGGTGTCCACATCCCACAGTGGGATTCAAACCTGTGATGTAAGGATCAATTCCTTACTTCGTGACTCTAGAGCAGACGCTTTAACCATGGCGCCACGCTTGTGACTAGCCCCATTTTAAAGAAATCATTCAAGATATTTTTTATCAAACTTAATATGCTGTAAGATTAGTAAGACCTATTCAACTATTTCAAAAATTTTTGACCTTTCCTGTGACCTTGACCTCACTTTTCTTTAATTTGCATCTTGCATGGTTTTGAACCATTTAAGATATTGTTTTCTAAGGCTATGCATCTATACATAATTTGGTGAGAACTTATCATCTATTCATTTTTTTTAAAATTTTTATTTCAATTTTAAAGAAACTTTTCAAGATATTCTCATCAAACTTCATATACTAACACAAAATTTCATGTTGCATTACTATACACTCGGCGGGGCATTCATGGCCTATGGACATATTTCTAGTGTAATTTGCTATTTCTGTTGTTTACTTTCGGTCAGTAAGTGCCCCCAAAGGGCAAGCCCCAGTCCTATTTTCTTTTCCAGGGTTGCAACAGCGCCCCCTAGAAAAACAAGTTGCACCATCCAATCAAATCTTGTTTTGTGCTGCTTTACGCCAATGAAATTAAGGCTGGACAGCATATGTATTATATTCTGACCAATGGGGTTGCCGTATTTTCAAATAATTAGGATAGACTTACCACTTCAGCATTCCTTTCATCACTGAAGTGATATGCATGCTCAAAAATTGACTAAGTTTCATTTTTGTGTCAACTGCAGAGCAGAACGACACTTAGAGATCACTTTACCTGGTGTCTGTCTGTCCGTCTGTCACACCTTATATCTCCAAAATTTTTAGAGGCAGGGTTTTGATAATTAGCATTTATATATGTTTTTGAGCTCATGATACTATACTTTGAAACTGTATGAAATTCAGTTACCACAAACTTATTTAAATACTATGAAAATACATTGGGATCAGTATTCTACAATGAATCGTGTTGACTGACAAAGTGACAAAGTAAAGACAGTCTGAAATCTCTTTCCTCCGAGGATTGTTGGAAGCACCTGCATGTGTATTAATAAAATGATAAATAGTTATTCATCATAATTTCAATTTAATTATTCATTTGAGGACTGGGGAACTATATTTTTTGATTGCCAGATTCTATCCCAGTCTTTTACTTTTGGATCCTTTTTTTTCCCTTGCAGGCAAATGCATGAACCTCCATGCTAATATTAAATTAATAGCTGACCACTCTTAGATTTATTTACCTCTTTAATGAAGATACCTAGCAGGCGACATATACATTCCTTGAAGCACTCTAGTTCCTATTTTATTTTCACTAATATAATGATTATTGAAAAAAGACTAAGGTGCTCTATAGTGATCAGTCTATTCATTCATCTGTCTGTCAAATACACATATCCCTTGTTCAGAATACAGGTGACTCTAAATACTTCAAACTTTATATTTTTTAATAAGGTACATGTAGCTGCTTTGGAACATCTGAAAGGTCTATTACATTATCGCTAGTTTTACTAGTTTTCTTCATGTAAGTTGAATATATTTCAAACTTTTAAATTTTTATTTTTGCCAGGTAAGAAAGAAATTCAGGAGTTCTTAAATTGCCCTCAGAGTTCTTGGATTGCATCAAACTGCTAAAAGACCTCAACAAAAACAGTGTCTTGAAAAAAAAAATGAAAATATTCAGTGAAAAAAAAATTATGAGAGAAAAAGCCACTAAAAATCTTCAAGCCTTTGAGCTGAAATCTGGAAGTCAATCTGTGGACTTTACTGGTATGTCTTACTAATTAAGTCATCATTTGTGTATAATAAATACACTAAACTGTAAACACTTGTTAAAATGTATATAATTTTTAGATATAATTTGTAGCTCACAGACATCAATAGTTTCATGTAATTTAAGTGATAATGAAAATTTCCTGTTGTCTGGCTAGATTAGAAATTATATATTATTGTCCAATTTTGGATATTGTGAAATAATTCATTTAGTAAAATTGGGTATGCATACATGTGTGTACACTTACATGTAAATTAATTGTTATGGCAAATTTAATCTATCATTAAGTTGAATGTTGACTAATGTTTTTCATCAAAATTGTTTACACTGAATTGTTTGTGGATTTTTCCATTTGCCCAATCATGTCAAGGAGCACATGGCAGAAAATGCTTTCTCCTCCATAGCACTTGGTGTTTTTAGAGGTCTGTGTTTGCTCTGCTACAATTTTGTATTGTTTCAATGGACTTTAAAGCTTGATCACTTTTGGTAATCTTCATATTTTATATACTATTAGAGTACTTGAAGAGAACTGTAAAGATTTAACATACAGTATAATGCATGTATATTGCACTTTAAGTAGAGTGTATGTGGTTTAGAAATGTAATTCATCTCATAGTGCATTGAATTTGTTGAAAATTAGAAACTTTGTTGAAATTGTTTTAGAATAATGTTAGATTGCAGATTTTTTTAAATCATGCAAGTAAGATATTGCTAAATATTCTTAAGCTTTTCTGGACAGTCTAGATGAGTTCTTGCTATATACCTAGCATTGTCATCCCAGTTAAAATTTAAGGAGCAAGGTTTATTCCTAAGCTCTAACTGGACAAACTTGCATGGATTAAAGCACATTAACAGATTTACTTCAGATGCTTGACCTGATCAACATTTTCTTCATGTGTTTTTTGTTTTTGTTTGTTTGTTGTTTAACATCCCTCTCAAGAATTTTTCATCCATATGGAGATGCCACTACTTACTGGTGGAGAGCTGCAAAATTTGACCTATACTTAGCACTCAGGGTCATTGAGCAATAAGGGATCTTTTTTGTGCCCACATCAACTGCGAGGTGGGACCTCGGTTTATACGGTCGAATCTGAAGGACTGGTCCCCACATCCCCAGTGGATCTGAACCTGAGACTTAAGGATTAAATCCTTACTTGCGACTCTAGATTACACACTCTAGCCTTTGCGCCACATTGGGGACTCCACAAGAGTAAGTGTTTTGAGCAGTCCTATTCTCATGTAATTATAAACTGTATGTTGAACAAACCTGCAAAGATGATGTATGTTAATGTTTCAGGGTACCAATCCTTGATTTGACTTAGATTTTCTGGATTAATGACCAGTTTTTTAGAGAAGGTTCATTCAAAGTAACAATATACTCTTTGGTGATCAGTAAACATAGATGATGCATCCTGCTTCTGATGCTGGATGTAACATACATTTTCAGGGTTATTGAGCAGTTAAATCTAACCCAGAACAACTTGCATAGATTTTGGATTCAGGTGATATACATTACCAGAGTGTTTGTTGAGTGAGACTTTGCCTTACTAGTGGATAACATTTATAGAAGTGAGCTTTGTATTCTTTGATTATACCATCAGTGCCAACTACCATACATTTTATATAATAGATGTAGCTGTTGTTCAACTGAATATGATAAAACTGTGGATGAAAATAATTTGATTTTTGTACCTTTAAATGTATTGAATTAATTTGTAAAAGCTGTTATGATACAAAGTTTGATATTTTATCAAAGTTTTTAGCATATGCAATCAATAAATGTATCAACATTTTTATTTTATTATACTTTTTACCCTGCAAACTTCTTAAAAACAGAATAGTAATGATCCATTCAACTGATACTAGGTTAGTGTCACACTGTACTTGTATATCATGTATATTGAACTGTAAATGAGAAACATCTAAATATGTCAAATCACAGCATGAATCATTGGATTATGTAAGAAGTGCACTATCTTGTGCTTTGGTATGGTATTAATAATAAATGTTAAACTATCATTTTTTTTTCAAATTAACAAAGGATAAGCTTGAGTGACTGTATTTTGACTAGCAGTAAAAATAAAATGATTTTGAAGCATTTGAATTATTTTGATTCATGGTCTCTGCAAGTTTAATGATAGCAAATATGTATATTGAACATGGCATCTACATATTGCTATACTGGATCTTAATCACAACATTGAAATTTTATGTAGTACATGTACTCTTGGTTTCAACTGGTCAAACATATTCTTAAATCACAAAGAATTTAAACAAATATAGGTATGATTCAGAACTTCATCAATTAGTTGGAAAGTGAATGCACTCAATGACTATATGGTTTAAAAGAAGCTGGGTATAAATAGCAGGAAAAACTACTTGATTTCCACTGTGAACTTTGTGTCCTCAACAAAACAATATGGAGTATACTATACTTGGTCTAAAGAATAAGTCTAATCTATGTCTGCATGTCTATGTCTGCATTCACTTTCAGGTTAAACTGTATTGGACATTGAGAGTTTGTTTGTTGTTTAACGTCCCTCTCGAGAATTTTTCACTCATATGGAGACGCCATCACTTGCCGGTGGAGAGCTGCAAATGACCTATGCTCGGCACACAGGGCCAATGAGCAGTGAAGGATCTTTTTCATGCCAGTATCTACTGTTACACTGGACCTTGGTTTGTACGAAGGACCGGTCTCCACGTCCCACAGTGGGATTCAAACATGTGACATAAGGATCAACTCCTAACACGGCAACTCTAGAGCATAGGCTCTTACCACTGCAACATGTGGGCGACAGCATTGAGAGTTAATTGTGGATATCAGAACAAGCTACTCTGGGCTTATACTCTCTATATATTGATTGATTGATTGATTGTATGTTGTTTAGCGTCCCTCTCGGGATTTTTTCACTCATATAGAGACGCCACCACATGCCAGTGGAAAGCTGCAAATTTTGTCCTATACTCAGCACTTACAGCCATTGAGCAGTGAAGGGATTTTTTCGTGCCAGCACCTACTGTGACACGGGACCTCGATTTATGCGGTCTCATCCGAAGGATCGGTCTCCCCAGCCAACTGTGGGATTTGAACCTGCGATGTAAGGATCAACTCCTTACTTCTCTACTCTAGAGCAGACGCTCTAACCACTGCGCCAGGGGGGCAACTACTCTCTATATAAGTCACTTGTGCAATGACTTTAGTTTTATATCCAAGATTTTGTACTGATCATGTTGAGTCACATTAACACAAATATCTTTCTGCTGAGCTTGACCAATGACCATCCGCAACTATTCTGGTTGGAAACAATATGTTAATTAATCCATAATCAGTGAAATTACTATGAAAGAAAAATGGTCTACTTAAACCACAAGTTATATGTATAAAAGTATACAATGGTCTCCTTAAGTCATATGAGAGAAACATAAAATATTAGGGAGACCATTTTTTTCATATATTTTTAGGAGGCATTTATAATGAAAAAATAAAGCAAGAGTCGACTAAATGGTGTTCTATAGAACATTGATCTGGTATTTCTTTTTAGAAAAAAGCAAATTTAAAAAATCTGTATATTGTCTCCTTAAGCCATATATAATGTTCTGGTCTCCCTAGTCCTTAAATCAGAGTTATATATATATATATATATATATATATATATATATATATATATATATATATATATATATATATATATATATATATATATATATATATATATATATATGAGCCGTCCCATGCGAAAAGGGCCCTTATGTATTTTGACGTCATAATGAGAAAAACGCCGGTAAAGATAAAGTCATAAAATGCAGGTTGCGTATGTTACTTTTTTCCCAGCATTTTTACCTGAGCTCTATCAACTTATTATCATTGGTTTTTTTATCGTCTAGAGCCAATAAAATATCAGGAAAAAAAAGAAAATATGAATTTTTAGAGCTAAGTCCAATATACGTGGACATTTCCAATATTGAATGATAAATTTTGCTGATATAATTCGGTGCTAGGTTTTTTTTTTTTTTTTTTTTTTTTTTTTGTTTTTAGCTCACCTGAGCTGAAAGCTCAAGTGAGCTTTTCTGATCACATTTTGTCTGTAGTCCGTCTGTCCGTCTGTCTGTAAACTTTTAACATTTTCGACTTCTTCTCCAGAACCACTGGGCCAATTTCAACCAAACTTTCCACAAAGCATCCTTGGGTGAAGGGGATTAAGTTTGTTCAAATAAAGGGCCATGCCCTCTTTCAAGGGGAGATAATGAAGAAATAGTGAAAAATTGGTGGTATGTTTTAAAAATCTTCTTCTCAAGAACCACTGGGCTAAAATAGTTGAAACTTATAGGAAACCTTCTTTACATAGTGTAGATTCAAATTTGTTCAAATGATGACCCCTTGGGGTAGGGTGGGGCCACAATGGGGGATCAAAATTTTACATAGTAATAGATAGGAAAAAATCTTTAAAAATCTTTTTCTCGAGAACAGCAAAGCCAGGATTAGTCAAATTAATATGGAAACATCTTCACTTAGTGTGAATTCAAATTTGTTCAAATGATGATCCCCAGGGATAAAATGGGGCCACAATGGGGGAATAAAATTTTACAAAGGAGTATATAGGGAAAAATGTTGAAAAATCTTCTTCTCAAGAACAGCAAAGCTATGATCAATTAAACTGATATGCAATTATTCTCAGATGGTGTAGATTCAAATTTGTTCAAATCTTGACCCCCCAGGGGCAGGGTTGGGCCACAATGAGCTTCGAAGTTGTACAGGTATATTTAAGGAAAAAAACTTTGAAAAATCTTCTTCTGATGAACAGTAGTGTCATTATGAGTTATACTGATATGGAAGCATCCTCAGCCAGTGTAGATTTTAGTTTGTTCAATTCATGGCCCCCAGGGTAAGAATGAACAATAATTTTAAAATGAATCAAAGTTTTACATAAGAATAATTTTAACTATAGGCCATAAAAAAAGTTTAAAGAAAAGAAAAAACATATATTAACATGACATTGATTGATAATTTATTAATTAATGTATTTGATAAAAAAAAAACGATTATCGGATAAACTTATCTGTAATTGAATCGCAAATTGCAGTATGAGGAATATTAATTTTTGGATCGGGTTCGATATTTTGAATATGAAAACGAGGTTCTTTGTTTCGGCCATATCGAAAAGCGAAAGAGAATATTGACCCATCGCCTGTGTATATACAGTGTAACGTTGATTTCCTAGAGTCGAAATTGTGCTATTTTTTTCAAGGTAACGTTTATTGATAAAAGAAAATGCACTATCTGTTCTTGTATTTATTCATTACCATATATTCACGATAAGGAAGTTGAGATATACCGAGCTCCGATTTTTTGGAAGAGCTCCAAAATTTAACACCACGTAGTGCTATGTAGAATGAAACATTTGAAAGACTAGAGATGAATTTAGAATTTAAGCATTGCAGTGGATAAATATATATATTTATACTTTTTTTCCTTTTAAAACGATCATGAAATTTTAACTAATCAAAATCCAGATAATATTCTGCTAGAGACTGGTGTATAACTAGTCGGCATGCAAGTTCGGCCGTTGTTTACAAGATAAAATAAAGACAGACATGCAATATATTATGTTGTAGATAATTTTTCATAAGAGAGAATAGTAATAACCAGTTTACCACTGCATTTTCTTTATAAGCTTCTGGAAGGAGGATACTATATTTAATTTGGAGATAGATTATCTGTTATTGTATAAAATGGTTTTAAAAAAAGAAACAGAAACAAGTGCCTCTAATAGTTACACAGTTGTTGCAAGTTAAGGTTTTATTTTTAGAAGTTCATCTGTGGAGTTATAGCTAAGTAATTTGTAAATTCAAGTGAATGGCATGGACTTGTCTTGCATGAACCATAATTTATTCCTCTTCCTTGACACTCCTTAAGTAAAGGGGGAGATGAGTCATGTAAGATTGTGTCAGTTTTTGCAATGCAGCGCTGCAGTCATGATTTTGTGTTGTGGTGGTACAGCAAACATATCACATTAAAGAAGGAGATGTTTATATGCTTATGCTAAGTTTACGGTCCTTATGGGTAATTTGGCATATCATGCTTGCAAAACTTTCAAAGTAATAAAGGAGATGAATAATCTTGAAAGTGTTGTGTGATATTTTTTATAGTTGCATTTTAGATAATGTTCAAATACAATTGCATGCATGTTTA